GTGGTGGTGGTGGGAAAATGAGTATAGTTGGACACATTTGGACACAAGTTTAGTAAAGCATCTAACACTGGGGTACTTGTGTACGTATCCCATGGTAACACTCAGTCACATCTGCGACAATTAGAAACTGGGACAACACTGTACTCACAGGAATCTGTTTCACACTGGAGTCCAATGAATGGTGAGGCACACACACATCGGTAAGTGTTGTCATCTTGGGCTACACAGGTACCTCCATTAAGGCAGGGATTGGATCGGCACGGGAACTGAGTACCAGCTGGGCAACAGAACAAGAATAGGAACAGCTTATGTGCTACATAGATGATTGATAAATGCTATACTTCAGTATATTGGCCACATGAAGTGGTCACCTCCATGGATGTATGTGCACCAAACAAATTGAAAAAGTGTGTGTCACTGTTGTCATGATTATACATTGCCAGGTTGAGTTTACATGCTCTCCACCTCATGTCATGCAAATTGCATGTTGCACGTTTATGTGTTTATGTAGCAGTGAAATAGAAACTTTTGCTCAAGATGGCACCACAGTTTTGGTTGTACATATAATTATTTCCACTGGAAAGCCAAACAGACCTGAACACCCAACAAAAGCTGAAAATAAGGGTAAATGAGACACAAGCAGAGATGCCAACATAGCAACTGGAAAAAGTGGAATTTACCACGAGCCACGCACCTCTGGCCAAAAAAATCATTTATATACATGTACCTAAACGTAGCATACATATGTACACATACCTGTTAATGACAAAAATTCAACATGTTTTCCGTTTTACTGTGCTTGTCAATGACATAGGCTCCACCGTGAGCAATGGTTAATGTCGCACTGATACGTTGCAAAATGCAAATTTTTCATCGCGACCTGATTTCACGATGAAGTCCCACTTTTTGCTGTACTCCTCCTAAAATTTATGGTGGAATTTCTCCATCATTTTTAGGAAACTAACTTTTTTTGGCACATAAATGTTGAATAACAGTAGGAATACAAAAATTACTTCTGGGTAACATATTCCACTACATGGATCTCTTCATGCAGGTCTCCGTAATGTACTCACTGTAACAGGTGTCTTGGATATCAACACGGAATCCACGCTGTTCCTTAGCATTGTCAGAGACAAATGTCATCCAGAATAAATTGCCTGCCGTCGTGAAAATGTTTGGTAGTCCCTCCCCAGAAAATGTGTCAACTGTGCCTACACCTGATGATTTAAAAAAAGATTCAAACAGATTTAGGTAGCATATTACATGGTCACAATCTGCCTTCTGAAATAGGCAAGATATGTCAGCCAACTTTCAAAATACAGTCAAAGGCTAAACTTTTCCAAATGTGTGATACAACATTCCTACAACACTTTTTGTCACAACCTCATCTCACATAAGTTTCCACTCCAAGACACTGCCCAGGAGGGACACATGCTTCAACTGTTGTGTACAATGGTCAAGTTTAATTTCAACACAGGGTCTGCCTCCACAGACATTCTGGATCATTGTGTATGAGCAAAAAGCACATATGCAAGTTCATTACCAGAAAGGGAAGCTGACAGTTAAAAACTTAGACAACTACATTTGTAAGCAGAAAGGGATGGGTTCAAAATCTAACTATACTATTAAACTCTTTGAAACCTTTGTCACTAGATCCTGGAAAGCATCAACACAACATCCTGCATGAAACAGTAGCAAAAAACAAATAGAAAACTTAAAATGCCAGACACAATTTCTGTCACAAAGTCAGTCCATGGCACTGTGGTTGGCAAACCTTTAACTAGATTCCCATTCTTATTTTGCTGGTGAAGCAAGGGATGGGCCCTACCTGCTGATGCCCCATTGCCTACTCGGACAACGTCGTAATCCAACTCGGTGGAGAAATCAAGGAAGATAACTCGCATAGGGTTTCCAGTAACTGTCTGGAAGCGCCAGGCACAGCTCTGGTTGGGACCATAATTGCCCGGATAGTTGGGGGAGTTCAATGTCTCGTGACCACACTGACTCAACTGGAAAATCACATTGCAGCCAATGGCTGGTGCATGGTATCAGAAGAAAAGGGGAAAAAATTAGTTACGCATCATGATAAAGAAAACAATTGGTTTAGGTTCATGACAAAATTAAATGCAGCAGAGTGTACAACCTGAAACGTTAATAAATATGGAAAGTGGGTATCCTTATAACAAACCTCCAAACTACCTTAAACAAACAGAAGTGTACAAGCTACACTGGGAACGGGTGGTGGTAACTCGCAGCAAACAACACGAAGATTCTATGAGAAGTAAGTTGGAATCTGAGGAATCAGATATAAACTAAGTCTAATGAACAAACCCAGCTACCAACTTAGATTTTACAGTATATACAACAGATAATTCTAAGAGGGTGACTTACGGATTTCACAGTGGGCACCGACGTACTCATCTGTACATTGGCAGGTGTAGGAGTTGATGCCATCCACACATTGACCACCGTTTTGGCACGGATTGGACAGACATTCCAAAATATCTAAAGCAATTTCATAAGTATCACAATAATGTTTAAACCAGTGTCTGTGCACTTTGTCAAAGGGGAAGAAAAGACAGGTGCAAAGACTCTGGTACTAAGACAGAGCAGTTTGTGTCCATTCCATTGACATGACGCAGGACCCTCCAAGTGCAGATTTGTGTCTGGCACAATCCAAGATTGAAATATTATGCTATTTATGTAAGGGTTCAACTTATGGCCTCACACCTGAGCTGAAGTTTTTATCTAGTTTGGGACTCACAATGACTTGAAAAGTCTTCTAGGGCTCTGACAAGGAATTAGCTACAAATTTTGCAAATTCGTTTGACACTTACCGGAGGCACAAGTTATGCCCATGTAACCTGCCTGGCAGTGACAGACGAAAGCATTCACTCGGTTCTCACAACCACCACCATTTTGGCAAGGGTTACTGGCACATTCATTGATGTCTGGTGAAAAGGGGGAAAAAAAGGACAACATTAGTAGTTGCGTATAGCTGACCAACTGACTGACTAACTGACAGGCTGACCGACAAATCAACTTTGAGATATGCAGAAAACTTATGCTTGAATGTCACTGTCGCATGGTCTTAAGTGCCAACCCTAGGACGATGCAGGTAATTCTACTGACTGTAGTTTTGACTCAATGGCCTGTGCTAATTATGGCATTTATGTCCTTAGGTAAGGTACTCTGTCACAATTTATTCTCTCCATCCTGGAATATAAGTTTTGAGGGGGCAGAGGTGATTCCTGTTTTTGACAATGTGCTTGAATTAGAAGTGACCTGCATACTTCCCAAGGACCTTGGCAATGTTTGGGCCCAATGAGCAAGGGAAGCAATAATGTAGAGCATTGCATCTAAACAGCAATACACAACATCATCACAAACACTGCTGCTTAAGATTCTACATAATGGTCCTATCATTTCAGGCACTTTTCAAATCATCACACTTGAAAATACTTCCACTTTCAAAAGAATGGTGAAGGACATAACAGCAAACTGAATTGAACACATACCTCAACCATTCAGTGATAATAGCTTGCATTCAAATGTGAAACAGTAAAAGCTCTTACCTGACCCACAGCGTGGTCCAGTGTAGCCAGCATTGCATAAACATCGGTATGAGTTGACCAAGTCCACACACACACCATTGTTCAAGCATGGGTTGGAACCGCATTCGTTGACCTCTGTAATTGAAGAAACATAAAGCCAAATATGTAAAGGATAGCTGATTCAGTGGGGACCAGGTTTCATTGAACTACTGTGCAGAGGCAATAGCTTGGCAAATATCAGCAGAGAACAGGTCACATGCAATAGACACCACACAGCACTTTTGGCCAGTGAAATGCAAAGCTTTTCTATAGACAGACTACAGTAATAACAAAAGTTCAGTTTTATTTTTTTGTATGGCAAACACTTACGTGTCAGACAGGTGGGTCCTTGGAAGCCTGAGGCACAGACACAAATGAAGCTGTTGACAAGGTTAGTACAAGTGCCTCCATTCCTGCAGGGGTTACTGGCACACTCATCAATGTCTGCACAAGCAGAGAAATGAACAGATTTGAGCATAAATTACACAAACCACAAACTATTTCATTCTTACAAGCGATTCTGTGTACCTGCATCCAATTGTACATGGCATGCCAGATGGACTCTTCTTACCATGTGCAATGAAAAAACACCAGACATTCTAAATATTGCAAAAAACACACATGTACATGTACATGTATGTGACTGCATGCACAAACAAAACGTGATCATTAAATGATTTTTAAATGATCATTATGATTTAGATGTGTTTTTCCTTACTTTAAGTTCAGTATTTACCTTGTTGGCAATTCACTCCTGCATAGCCTGGTAGACATTGACAGGTGTAGGCATTGGTCTGGTCTATGCAAACTGCATTATTCTGACAGGGGTTGCCTGTACAATCATCAATATCTGCATACCAGAATATAGTCAGGATCCTTATGTTATTATTTTATTCAATTGAAAAGTTCACAGAAAGAAAAAAATGGAAAATTTAGTTGGAGGTACTGTCAAAGCCAAGTGCTAATGAGGACATGTTCAAAGTATACCGTCTGAATCTCTTCAAGACATTGAAGAGGCCCAATGATAGATAAGAAACATGATCCATGCAATCTTTTCAGCAAATATTTGAACCACCTTTCTCAAGAGTCTTGCAAGCAGTGTTCTTGAGTTGCTGATTACAAATGCCCAAGTGTACGTGAACTACGGCTGGGTCACTATGTTAACATTCTGAATGAGAAGATGGAATGCTCTTAAAATTGTGTTGATCCCAAAACAGCCATGTATTGGTAAAGGTAAATTCTCTCTATGACCATGCCTACAAGCCCACATTTATATTTTTATGATTGTACCTAATATTATACAAAGAAATTCATTCAGCTGCAATATGGGCCTAAGTTCATAGTTCAAATCTTTTATTTTTATCAACATATAGATGGACAGATAGAATTACTCAACATTTAAATTGTGTATGAATGGAGGTCTCCATAAGCAAAAGCTTGTCAAGTGGAGACCCCACAAGTCTGCCATCTTTGTTCTTGACATGTTCCATCCACTCCTGAGTATTAAAGTATTAATAAAAACCCTGTTCTCAAACAATGTTTGCATGTTGCTTCTCGGCATTCAAAACCCTGTTCCTGCTTTCATCGAAACAGTTTTAAATACATTCAAGCACAAATCTTCTAAGACAAAGATGTTTGTTCATGAGGAAGCTCTACACGTTGAGCATCTTCATGGTCTAAGACAAGCCTCAGAAATTCAGATTGTTTTTCTACTTGCAGTCTGGGGCATGTTTAGAGATAATGAATATTACTCATCAACAAATAAAGAGTGCAACTCCAGAAAGCGTCCATGAATGTGGTGATGTATCTTTGACATCTAAAAACTGCCATTCCTAACTTACTCTGTTCGCAGCGTGGTCCTGTGAACCCAGATAGACAATCGCAGGTGAAGAAGTTGAGGTTGTCTACACACCGGCCACCATTGGCACACGAATTGGGCTGACAATCATTGATATCTAGTGAGACAAGTTATACATTCAGCTGGGGCATTTCAAGTTGACGGATGCAATTAATCAGCTAAAAAACTTTCAAGTGACTTCTAAATCACAGAAGTTCAGCATTAAGCTCCTGTAAGACACTAAAAGCCTTTTTTCTTTTAATCCCTTTTAACAATGTGAGTATGGAAGCCTTCTGTTTTAATGCTGATTTGAAATTCATTCATTGAGATTCTTCTAGTGTTCTATCAACAGTGGAGCAAAGTACCACTCTCACTGGTGGAAAATTTCTCCTTGGTAAACAGTGACTCAACTTGGAATGGTGGGAATTTTCTATTAGGAAAAGCAGCAGGTGTAATTCAGAATACTTGCTCCTGTCACTGTGAACAGCAGAATTTGTGCACTTGTGAGTAAACCACTGAGAGAGAGAAATTCTGCAATAACATTGTACAGCAAAAATCTGGGACAATGCTTAAACCCTAATTTATAAGCACAAACCAACACTGATCTGTGAATAAAGTTAACTATCAAAACATGTCGTTTGCTTTGTGGTTAGTGCTTTAAGATAAGAAGAATACCAGAACAACTAAATTGGATGTGAGTGTTCCCATCTGGAACTGTCTGCCCACAACAGGTGAGAATATTCAGCCATACTGCTTTTCTTTCTGAGAATGCAACTTGATCAAATAAATGTTTCTTGCCCAAATATGCCAAATGGGAATATTCCAACTTGTTGAGATATTCCACTATCCGATGTGAAGACAAGAAAAGTATTACTTACTGTTTTCACAGGTGACACCATTGTATCCCGAGCTGCATGTGCAGGAGAAACCATTCACAAGATCTGTGCACACACCGGAGTTTTGGCACGGATTACTAGCACACTCATCAACGTCTAGGATAAGGACAAAACAGAAGCTGTTTAAAACAAAAAGGCAAGGTAGACTGCATAGAAAGAGCAAACTAGTGGTTGCAGTTGGCAACTTGGGATCATATGGTTAGGGGATCAAATCAAGCTGCTGACTACATCTTGTGTCTCTGGGCAATCAAATGAAGCCATATTACGCATATTTGCTTCTCTTGCCTAGATGAATAAATGTG